GTCTGTCTTTGTCTGGAAGCTCATCTGAAACCTGTCCACCATGGGTGACCCTGCTGGTTATTTAAAATACTGGTGGCATAGCCCTCAGAATCACAGGAACTTAAGCCACCACAGCATGACAGACAGGTGAGTGGTGGCCATTTGGTTTTATGTCAAAACTGTCACTTTAAATTTTGATATCAATCCTGATACAATCAAGATGTTCTCTCCCAAGATGGCGGCCCTAGGAATAGCTGAGCGTCTTGAATTAGAAATCAATGGAGTTAAGGTAAAAGCCCTCCAATCCTCCAAATATTCCTTTATATGTGCTTCAGAGTGCCAGCACCATCCCCTACCTGCTTGGCCCGGTATTTCGTGTTGTTACTGACAGAGCTCCTCACGGCAAGTCTGCCCGATCCACCATCTGACTCATATTGGTTTATAGAAGAATTTATATATATAAATTCTTTGTATTCCCTGGATATGAGTCTCATTTGTTTTATAGATATATTGTTGTTGTGCGCTGTTGAGTCAGTTCCGACTCACAGCCACCTTATGTAGAGTTTCTAAGAGCTACTGATGGATTTGAACTGCCGATAGTGTAAGTTAGCAGTATAGTGCATATACTGTACTGTTGTGTCTCTGTAGGATATTTGTTGCTGTTGTTAAGTGTTGTTGAGTCTATTCTGAATCATAGTGACCCTATATAGGGTTTCTGAGGAGCACCTGGTGAGTTTGAACCATCGACCTTGCAGTCCAAACTGACCTTGAGGTCAAGTGCTTATCCTATGGCACCACACCAGGACTCTCTCTCAGTATATATATTTGTACACACATATCTATATATACACCTACACATATCTGTGCACACACACACACATATATATATATACACATATCTATATATACACCTACACATATCTGTGCACACACACACACACACACACATATATATATATACACATATCTATATATACACCTACACATATCTGTGCACACACACACACACATATATATATACACACATGTCTATATATACAGACACATATCTATACACACACACACACATATATATCTATATATACACACACAGATCTATACACACACACACACATATATATCTATATATACACACATATCTATATATATACATACACATATATACACACACATATATATACACATATATAAACACACATATCTATATATATATACACACACATACATATCTCTCTATGTTGTTGTTGTTATGTGCTGTGGAGTCAGTTCCAACTCATAATGACCCTGTACCGTGTTTCTGAGGCTGTAAATCTTTATGAGAGCAGAAAGCCTCATCTTTCTCCTGCAGAACAGCTGGTAGTTTCGAACTGCTGACCTTGAGGTTCACAGCCCAATTTGTAACCACTACACTACCAGAGCTCCTTATACACACACACACACACACACACACACACGTATATATACACACACACACACACATTGTTGTTGTTGTTATGTGCCGTCGAGTCTGTTTCCACCCATAGCGACCCTGTACAGAGTTTCCGACACTGTAAATCTTTATGGGAGCAGAAAGCTTCATCTTTCTCCTGCAGAACAGCTGGTAGTTTCAAACTGCTGACCTTAAGGTTCGCAGTCTGATTCGTAATCACTATGCTACCAGAGCTACTAATATATATAAATATAAATATATGTATATACACTGCAATATCTTCTCCCACCAGAAAGTTATATTAAATATACGTATATACTTTTAAACAGAACATTCTTTAAAATTGTAAAGCAAGATTCTTTAAAATGGTGTATGTTGTTGTTGTGAAGTGTTGTCGAGTCGATTCTGACCCAAAGTGACTCTGTATAGGGTTTCCAAGGAGCAGCTGGCGAGCTTGAACCACTGACCTTGCAGTTCAAACAGCTTTGCAGTCTGGTGCATTAACTCACGGCACCACACCAGGACTCCAAAATGGTGTCTAATAGAGTAAAATATTAAAATTTTCTTCTGTGTGAAGCACACATAGTTAAACGAAATACACATTACAGTACACTTAACAACACAAATGTGCATTTTTCCAATTTTCAACATACCTAGTGAATATCTTTATTATCTCCATTTTATAGAAGAGAAAATTTAGGCACGGAGAGGTAAGATGAATTGCCTATTGTAATACCCTTGGTTAGTAGATAAGCCTAGATTTGAACCCAGGAATCTTTAACTGTGACCTTCAATCACTTTGTGGACGGTCCTAACCCCCTAACCTATGCTTGTGGACTCATCTGGAAGAAGACTGTTTGCAGATATAATTAGTTAAGCTACCATGACATCATGCTGGAGTAGAGTGAGTCCTAACCCAAGATGAAAAGAAGAGAAAAGACTGAGACACAGAAGGAAAGTAGCCATGTGAAGACTGAGACATAGATTGGAATTATGCTTCTACAAGCCAAGGAATGCCTATATCTACCAGAAGACCAAGGGAAGATTTTTCTTTAAAAATCTTTGGAGAAGGAAGGGAAACCAGACTCATGGGGAGGAGTGAGACAGGTGATGTTTCATAGAAGGGATTGCAATCATTAAGATGAAGTGAAGTATATAATTGGTTGAACATAAAACCAATGAGTGCTATGTAGACCTTCACTCAATTTTTAAAAAGTTAAGAAGAAAAGTCTTCAGAGAGATCATGGCCCTGCAAACACGCTGAATTCAAACTTTCCATCTTTGGAATAGTGAGAGAATTCACGTCTATTGTTTTAAGCATCACTGTTTGGGGTAAGTTGTTATAGCAACCACAGGAAACTGAAATACACTTCAGCATTCCAAGCAACTCCACGTTCCCTTGACCCAGAGAGCTGACAGTTTTTCAAGAATCTGTTCCTGAAGCACACTTTTCTCAGAGATGTCTTCACTGGGCTCCAGCCAGAGCCGAGGCTCTGGATGAATCCTCACTTTTGGATCTTGATCTCGGAGTATTCAGTGGTGTCAGCGTCCTCCTGTTCAGGAGCATCCCAGGACCTCATCCTCTGGAAACTGATAGAGGTGTAATGAAGCTCTGGCTCCTCTCTCGAGATGGGGAAAGCGGTGGGTGAGCTTGAGTAATTCGAGGGGCTTCCTGAACTGGATTCACTCAGGTGACCCAGAGTGGAATGGCAGAGGGGGTAAGAGTTGACATATATGGCCTGAGGAAGGAAGCAAGAGTCATTAAGGGAAGTTGGGGCCGACGCATATTTATTCATTTATCTATTCCATGCACATTTCCTGAGCTCAGACTCACTCATTGATTCATAATCTTAACAATTTTTCATGCCTATAATGGCCTGTTGTTGTTAGTTTTCATCAAGTAGACTTTAACTCACACAGACTCTATATGAGCAGATTATAACTACTCCATAGGGTCTTCCTTCCTTCCTTCCTTCTTTTCTTATTGTGGTAAAAAGATATATAACAAGACATTTGCCTTTTATCCATTTCTTACATGCACAATTCAGCAAAATTAATTATTTTCAGGATTTCTTGTAACTATCAGCACTATTCAGTTCTAACATTTGCTTAGAATGGTTTTCAAGACTCTGACCTTGTGGCAGTAGATCATCAAGACTGTGTCCTGAAGTGCCTCTGGGTTGACTTGAACCATCAACTTTTCAGTTAGTAGCTAAGCACTTAATCATATGTGCCAGTACTTATTACTAATTCACTGAGCTCTTCTATTTCCCGCTGGATGATATAACTGTCATCTTTGTTTTACAGATATGAAAACAGATTGAGTGAGATGAAGTATCTCCTCCAAGGTTCTATCTAGCCCTAGGGCATACCATGATAAACGTATAAGTCAGATCTCTTGAGCTTAGACTATGAGGAAAAGAAAACAGTACCATATTGTAAAACAAATGACAGGAACAAATACACATCGAATTTTCAAATTGTAACTTGATGGAGAGAGGCAGAACACCAGTAGTAAGAATCGATGAATTACACGTGACCCTGCCTACAGTGAGCCCTGGCGTGACACCATAGGATAAACCCTGGGCTGCTAACCTCAAGGTCAGAAGTTCAAAGCCACCAGCCACTCTTGGAAACTCTATGCAGGGTTGTTATGAGATGGCACAGAACAACAACAACAACAACCATAATAGGCTCATGGTGTGGTGGGGGAAAGGTCTGCATTTATGAGTTTGTGTGATAAGTCTTAGGAATCTCTGGGTGTTGCAAACAGCTAACACACTTAACTGCTAGCTGAAAGGTTATAGGTTCAAGTCCACCCAGAAGAAAGGTCAAAGTGATATACTTCCAAAAAAACCAAGCCCTGAACATCTTATGGGGTGCAGTTCTACACTGACACACATGGGGTCACCGTGAGTTGGCGCTGACCCCATAGCAGCTGGTTGGTTGGTGAATTACCGGCTCTGGGACATGAAAGAGAGGAAGGAAGAGAGGGCAAGACCCAGGTCTCTGGCTTGGATAAATGCAGTGGGAAACAGCAGGAGGAACAAATTTTGGGAGGAAATATGGACCTCTGTTCTTGACATGATGAATGAGCCCCTATGGACCATCCCCAGGGAGATGTCCAGCTGGTAAATGGAATGAAAAGATGCCCACATCACTCACCTGGGAAGAGGTATTCAACACAGGATGGATGTCATCCATGCTTGCTGCTGTCTCAGAAGATTTCTTCTTGTAGCGCTTCACTCTGAACAAAGAGAGCAGAGCCTCAGCCTGGCTGACTCTCTGTAGGAGCCTGGGAGCTGAGGGCTGCTGTCTAGCTTTAGACCATGAAGAAAATATGCCCCATTCCCCTTCAACAGCTGGACCTATGCATTGAGAACAGACCCTACATCTGGCCAAGATGGCGGGAGGCTGAATGCTTGACTTTCTTCTTCGTCCTTGCCTGGGTATGAGTCACATCATGCGATCTGCTGTTGTTTGTTGCTGTAGAGTCTGTCCCCGGCTCATGATGGCCCCATATACAACGGAACGAGTTGCTCCCCAGTCTTGTACCATCCCCATGACTGTGGATCTGGCCATTGTGATTCTCACTGGCTGCTTATTAAAAGTAGAGGACTAGGTCTTCCTTCCTAGTCTGTCTTAGCCTGGAAGCTCCACTGAAATCTGTTCTGAATCCTAGCAACACACAGTCCCCCACTGACAGACAGGTGGGGCTGGGCATTGGTTGCATTGGTTGGGAATCAACCCAGGTCAATAGCATGTAAGGCAAGAATTCTACTATGAACCATTGCTGCTCCCACACTCAATGGGACAACTTGCATGGCTCTTAGCCTACTATGTATCCTCTTAAAGATACATTTTGAGTGAATCCTTAAGGTTTTAAAGCTGCAAAAAGCCACTATCTCACTTGAGCAATTTTGGCGTCCAGGATGCAAAACGAAGACATAAACTTGATGAGTGTTCAGTTAGTGACGATAGTGGCTTGTGCAGTGTCTAAAACCACGTGAAGTAGGTACTATTATTCAACTCACATGAAGAAGATGAGACCGAGGCAGAGAGCAAGTAGGACCATGATGCCGGCTCCCCAGGCAACTGTTGACCAGATCCTAGATTTACCTGCGCACAAGTGATATTTGGGGTGAGCCTCAACTCCTCCAATCAGTTATCCAAACATATCAATACCAAACCCAAACCCACTACCACAGACTTGATTCCAAATCCTAGTGACTCTTGAGGACAGAGTAGAAGATCTTTATGGGAGCAGACAGCTTGATCTTTCTCCTGAGGAGGAGCAGGTGGGTCTGAACCACCAACCTTGTGGTTAGCAGCTCAATACTTAGCCCACATGATCACCAGGGCTTTTTTCCTGACCATACAATCTTTGCAAATCCATAATCCACATGTACACTCACTTCCATCTGAGACCCCTTTGTTCTCCACCATTCTATATGACTGTAGTTCTCTGGCCCTCAGGTTTCTCCCTAACCAAAGGACCAAGAACTCTTCCTGTTCTGGGCTCATACCCATTCCTCCTACTCTCTGAGTCTCCTAGGATCTCTTTCTGCAGGCATCAGCCTTCATGCCCTCCGCCTGACCAGGTTCTGGTTGTCATGGGCACCCTGACCATCACAGCTGAGCCTGAGGCCAGAGCTGAACTCTATGCAGAGGCTCAGGGAGCTCAGGACCCAGCTAAAGTTTACAATGAAGGAGGCATTATTATTCTTCCTGTCCTCAGCCTGCTAGCCCAGGTAAGGGGCTGACTTGGGCTCCAACAGAATAGCTGCAGCACAGACCCTCAGCCTCCCAGGAGCAGAGAAAAGCAGCTGTGGGGGTCCCCTGAAGAGGAAGAATGTTTGGAAGGTGTTTTCAACTTTGCCATGTGTCCTTCCCCCAGGTATCCAACAACTTACTCGTCACAGAGAGGATCAGAGTGCCTTTCTGGAAGCCCAGTGAGTTCTGAGCTTGACAGATGTATTGCCCATGGTCCCCTAACGCCACCCGTGGCAGCTCCAGGACTCCTGGGTTCAAGGGTTGGGAGGGTTGAAAATCAAGGTTCCCCCGTGTCCAGCTCAGCTTGGCAGGAGGATTGCTGCTGGCTACACAGACCAGATACAGGGACTCACCCTCCAGGATTGGAAGAGATGAGCCATTGCCTAGGGTTTCAGGTTCTGGAGAGATGGAAAAAAAGGTAATCTCAGACTTGGCTTAGAGGTGATATCTTTTTCTTTCATTACATAAAATAGTCTCTTCTCTTCATTGATTGATGGGTTCCTACTATCTGGGTTCATCCCCAAGGAAACGAGACTAGAACAGACCTTGTCAATTCGTCAAGAGCATTTCTCAAGTGTACATTTCCATGTTCATTTGCCTGACTCTCCTTTGTTCCCATCCCTCCTGAATTGTTGACTTGTACCAACTCAGAACCCAGATTCACTTCAATTCCAAGAATCTTGCCGTTTATTTAGTCTTTCAACAACAGTTTGCCAAGACCCTTTGAATTTAGCGATGCCTGAGGGACCCAGTCTCATGAGCAAGCGACTCAAAGACAGATATTTACAAGGACACATAATGACTTTGGTGATGGACTCAAGCTGAGAATGGTCTGCTTGGTGAGATTGTCAGGACAGAGTGAGGGCGTCTTGGAGAGGAGAAGTTTAAGCAAAGCATGAAGAACATACATGAGCAGACTAGGGGGAGATGTTGACACAGAAGGATATCACTAGAAAATACAGGGGGAGGAACGCTAGCTGAGGGATGAAGTGATCATCATCCTCTAAGGCTTGAGTAAGTAGGTTGTTTGGGAGTGCTTAGAGATGACACTAATAGGCTTTGGCAGTACAACAGTTAGCTCTTGACTGCTAACTGAAAGATTTGTGGTTCTAACTCACCCAGCGGCTGACATGGGTAAAACCCTAGCAATTTACTTCTATAAAGATTGTTGTTGTTGTTGTTATGTGCCGTGGAGTTGGTTCTGACTCATAGCGACCCTGTACAGCTAGGAAACCCTCTGGGACAGTTCTAGTCTGTCACACAGGGTTGCTGTCTGTCAAAAACTGACCTGGTGGCACCTAGCAACGACAACAGCAGCAGAGATGAGGCTACTTGGATAAAACTGTGGTACAATTTAAAAGTAATGTTGGAGTGGGCAAAGTCAGAGGTGTAAAGAAAATATTGATAAATGCAGCCAGTGGTTTACGGCTAAGTGTTTAAAGAATGTTCAACAAAGAAACAAACAAGTAAACAAACTCAGATCTGTAGCACTTGACAATTTCCATGCTGTAAACATTCCCAATGTTACTTATTTCAAGCACTCCATTTGGAATCACTGAACACAGAGTGGGGGAAAGGTGCATACAGCTGGCTCTGCCAACTGCTCAGAGATGGCTCCTGGACACTGTTGAGTGTATCTCTGGTAGCTTAATGGTTACAAGTTGGACTGCTAGTCTCAAGGTCAGCTGTTCGAGACAATCAGCGGTTCTGCAGGAGAAAGATGAGGCTTTCTGCTTCCGTAAAGATTTTACAGCCTCAGAAACCCTGTGCAGGGTCACTATGAGTCTGAACCAACTCCAGGGCACACTACCAAATAAAAATACTTTTTTTTTTTCCTTTTTGCCTAGCAAAATCACAATACCCTAAGTCAAAAGGTTGGAAATACATATTTTCAACTAACAATAACAGCAGATTTTCTTAACATGAAAAGAACTTCAGATCATTAAGAAAATGTACATGTTTTTTTCCAGAATGGTTCTTGAACACAAGGAGAGATCCTCAACTCACAAAACAAGGAGAATGCAAATTTAAATGACAATGCATTCACCTCTGATATCAGCAAGGATGAAGAATTTAAACAGAGATAAGTACCTTTGCTGGTGGGAGTGTAAATAGCACACTTTGTCAATACCTGCAGGGATTATAAATACAATGCTACTGAGAATGAAATTTAGTAGCAAATTTTCCTACAGAACCACACACAGGCACATAGGGGAACTGTTTGTACAAGCAAAGTATTGGAAACACTATCATTTTCTGTTAATGGAGAACCAATTAAGTACTGTATTGTTGTTGTTGTTGTTAAGTGCCGTTGATTCGGTTCCAACCCATAGTGACCCTGTATAGGGTTTCCAAGGAGTGACTACTGAGTTTGAACCACTGACCTTGCAGTTCAAACAGCTTTGCAGTCTGGTGCATTAGCCCACAGCACCACACCAGGACTCTACGATGTACATTCACTAAAAAACCAAAATACCCCCACTGCTACCGAGTCTATTCCGATTCATGACAACGCTATTTAGGGTTTCCGAGATTAAATCTTTATGAGAGTAGACAGTCTCATCTTTCTTCCCCAGAGTGACTGGTGAGCTTGAACTACCAAACTTAGGGTTAGCAGTTAAATGCTGATATCACAGTGCCACCAAGGCTCGAATTTATATATACATATGTTGTTGTCTATTAAAAATTGAATATACATAGTCTGTATATACATATACACATATAGTCTATTAGGAGTCCTGGTGTGGTGCTGGGGGTTAATGCGCTAGGCTGCAAAGTTGGTTTGCACTGCAAGGTCGGTGGTTCAAGCTCATCAGAGGCTCCTTGGAAACCCTATACAGGGTTGCTATGGGTCAGAACCAACTCAACGGCACTTAACAACAACAAAAAAAAAAAAAAAGTCTAAAATACTCTGAGAATCACCAGAACACAACACAGAGACAGAGAGTGAGCACATTGTACTGGAAAAATGGTGCCAACAGAATTGTGTAACACAGGACTGCCGCAAACCTTCAATTTGCAAAGAGCTCAATATCTTCCAAGTGCAAAAGAACAAAGCAAAATAAAGCAAGATATGCCTGTTATTGAAAAACCATAGAGTCGTAATGAAAATATTGTGCTGAGTGAAGGAAGTCGGTCATAAAAATAGTGTATGATCCCACTAGTATGCAACTGGCAAATGTCCTTGCATAGAGACCAAAGTTGGTGAATGGACATCAGGGGTAGGAAGGAGGGGCAAAGGGGACGCTTTGGCTCTGGGGGCGACACTGGGTCTCTGTGATTGGTGGAATTATTTGGAAACTGACAATGGTGAGAGCTGTCCAACATGAGGCCCAAAACCAACATCACTGACGTGTCTACATAGAAAAAAAAAATCCTGAATTTGCAAGTGAATGTCTCATCACATGTTGTTTTGCCACCATAAAATATGATAAGAAAAATCACTGTAACAAAAACTAAACTAAAGAGATCATTAGGACCCAGATCACGAGCCATGTGAAGGTAGGGCTTGGGATGAACACATAGCCTTGGGACTGGTGACAGCTGTACCCATCGGGCAAGGAGAAGGTCATGGATAGCTTTGGTGTCAGCAGTGACAGAGACCTCCTGTCCACCACTGGCTCAGAGTGGAGAGATTGCTTCCTACCTGTACCATTCACCTGGAACGCACTGATGGTCAGGTTCTGCGGGGCATCTAGACAGACAGAAATAATGGTTCCCTTTTCAGTGGCAGGAAGATGTGTGCTGTCTCTTTCCTCCCAGAAACTTGAGACACAGGAAGGAGGTGTCCTGCTTTTCACCAATCCCTTCTTCTAGGATCCAGAACGCAGCATCCCAGGTCTGCCCTAGTTTCCCCGACACCCACAGCTCTCAGGGACCCGGGTATTCCTATGAGCACTTACAGGACACATTGAGCTGGATGGTCCTCTTTGTGGTCACATCTGCTCTAGGAAAGGCCACCTGGCAGGTTAGATGAGTGCCGTGGTGATGTGGTTCTGGAGTGAGGGTGAACACCGAGGAGTAAGTAGTCTTGTGGTCCTGGGAATTGAATGCTACTCCAATCCATGAGAAGGTGAGGGAGCTGTTTATTTTACAGGCCAAAGGCATCTTACAGGTTACATTGTTGGGGTGACCAGACTCTAGGGTCCCTTGGATGTGGATGTCAGGTGCCTGCGTCAGGGCTGAGGGGAGAGAGAACCAGGTTGTGGAGATGGGGACCATCCAGTGGTCCCTGAAAGCAACCTGTACCTCAGGCAGGTTGGTTCCTCCCCACCAACACTAGCATCCTGTTCCCCTCAGCCCCTCTCAGGATGAGGATCAGGGAGTACCATCCCATCCCTGTCCCGAGGACATGCCCTTCCCCTGTAGTGTCTCCTTGACCCCACCCAGTCCTTACCTGCCACATGCACAGAGAGCTTGTAAGATACATAACTGTATTTCACTTTTTGTCCTCGTTCAACCCTAAAGAAGTATGATCCCATGTCTGTCTTCTTGGCATCTGTGATGAGCAGGGAGCAGTTGTATTTCTTGGGGTCTCCCACAAGGTAGAATCGGCCCTTGGTCTCCTCCTGCACTTTTCTATTGGTGTTTGTGGCCACCACAAGGTATTTTGTGGGTTGGTCTGTCTCTCTGTTCCAGTAGCCATAAGCTGGAGTACTCGTAGACCATTTCTCCTGGGGGTAACTGACTGAGCAGGGCACATAGACACACAGACCCTCCTGTACCGTCACGGACTTTTGAATATCCAGCCAGTATATGTGGTTCTGAGCCTGGAACCCTGTAGGAAACAAGGGTTAAACTCAGTTCTAGTCCCTTCAACATTGTCCACCCCCTTGTCCACTCACCTGCCCACTGCAGGAGCATCAATAATAACAGCAACATTTCTGGAGTAAGAGTCCTGGGAAGTCATGCTAGAGGACTGACAGGAAGCTACGACAGGAAGCTCAGGGATGAAATCGGAAAGGCAATTGGCCACAGAAGAGGAACCTCACACCATACACTGTCAGATCCCTGGAGGGAAAATGCTTCTACTTTCTAGATAGGGTCCAGACAGAGCCACACACATCAGGGGGTAGATCCCATTCCCAGCTCCTCACTTTCTGTCTGCGAACTTGCCTTCACACTGTACCACTGTCCACACCAGGAGATTAGGGGCTGCTTGGCCAGGCTCTGTAGGTCACAGCTTCTAGATGCTAAGGAGGGCATGTCCTACCAGGCATGGGGCTCTGGGGTTGCCGAGGGAGAGCTGCACAGCACATAAGGAGGGGGAAGTGTCTCTGGAGAGAGGGAGGTGCCTTTGACTGAATAAATCTAACAATTACATCATCAGAACCTTCTACTGCAAATTATGACAGTTGATTAGGGAGGTCCTGGTGTGGAGCCACAGGATAAGCATTTGACTTCAAGGCTGGTTTGAACCACATGGTCTGTGGTTCAAATACACCCCAGTTGTTCCTTGGAAACCCTACAAGGGTTGCTATGAGTCAGAACTAACTCAATGGCACTTAACAACAACTGATGATGAACACTGGTGTGGTAAGACGATCACCAGACTGCTAACCACAAACTTTGTGGTTCAAACCCACCAGTTGCTCCTCAGAAACTCTATACTGACTGGATTGCCATGACTCCGAGCCGAATCAACAGCACTTCACAACAACAACAAGCAATGATGAGAGTCGCTGGTTGGCACAAACGGTTAAGCACTCAGTGATTGATGGAAAAGATGATGATTTGAATTGACCTGATCTGGTGATCTACTTTAGAAAAGTCAGTCCTTGAAAACCCTGTGAAGACAGCTCAACTCTAACACACGTGGAGGTCACAGTGAGTACGATCCGATTTGACAGTAACTGGCCTGGTTGATTTGCTTTTAAAGCAACGTGGAGGTAAATGAGTCACCAGAACATTCCAGTCCATGTTATTGTCGTTGCGAAGTGCTGTACAGTCCGTTCTGACTCATAGCGTCCCAGTATAGGGTTTCCGAGGAGCGGCGGGTGTGTTTAGAATGCTATACTTTTGGTTAGTGGTCCATTGATTATCCTACAGAGCCATGCCAGG